TCTGGCGAAGCTAGTGTCTCTCCATCAAGGAATCAAATAGTTCTTCCAAACCCACCACCAGAAAAAGAAAAGAGAAATCTGGTCGGAATGCCAGGTAAAATCACCAAGCTAACCCTTCAAAATCTCTAATCGAATGGTGGTTCATATAGTCACGTTGAATTGAAATTGTCCTTTTTATTTCTTTTTTAGATACAAATGCAGAGGTGATTGCTCTATCCCCAAAGACTCTAATGGCAACAGATTGATTCATTTGCGAAAGCCATGGCCGCCGAGCTTTTTGTACTCTAGAACGATTGCGAAAGCAAAGGCTATAGAGAAAGAGAGAGCTTTGGCAGCTGTGGAGTCCTTGAATCGGATCGGAGTTGGGTAAAAGACATGGCCGATCAATCGAAGCGTGTCATTGGTGAGTTGGAGGAGACCATTGTTGTGGATCTCTACAACACCGTTTAGGCTTATGTTGTTGTTGTCGGTAAAACCCTTGAAGCCATTGCAGACGAAGCCATTGTTGAGCTGAAAAAGAACTGGGTTTGTTGAGAGGAAGAGAAAGAGCAAGAGAAAGAGAAAGATAAAGATTGATTTGGCCATCAAAGAGAGGACAGAGCTCAAGCACATGGGGGGGAGAGGACAGAGCTCAGAATATGTTAAGATGTAATATGACCTACTCTATTCCTGAGAGTGATTTTAGAGAAAATGAAATCTCTCTGGCTGCAATCTCTCTCTCTTTCCCCTAATTTTTTTTTTTATCAGGCGGTGTGCACTTCTGTTACGTCCCGTCAAAAATTATAACATGGTATAAGTCTAGGGGTTTAAGTGTTACAAATGAAACTACAAGGAGGTTCCGTGTTTTTAGGGTAAACCACAGGGGGTTATATTATAATTTACCCTAATACAAATATTAAAATTTTAATATTTATGAGAAATATGAAAATTTTCACTAAAAAACAAAAAATATAACCTCCTGTGGTTTACCCTACAAATATTAAAATGTGCTTATTTTTTCTTTTCTTTTATTTTTATTTTTAGTAACCCTTTTTTTTCCCTTCAAAATTTCTTCACATTTAAAAAATAAATAAAAATTTAGCTGCATCTAGACTAAGTGTATTAAAAAAAACAATAAATACAAAAATCATGAAAAACAAAAGCTAAAAATTAATTTTATTGTTTGAAAACCATACAATGTGTTTCGGGTCTTTTACTATTGTTTTCATTGGTTCATTAGAATAAAATGATAATTTCTTCAAAATATTCATTCTCATAATTGGTAAACTAAAACATTATGAAGATCCATTGTAAATAAAATTATCATTTACCATTGTAAAATAATTATTATTTCATAGAGAAATAAGAATGACCATTCCATTCCATTCCATTCAATCTTTTTTCAGTGAACCAAATATTACTTTAGATTATTCTCAAAAAAAAAAAAATTCTCTCACAAAACAAAATGAAATAAAAGATTAAATATATGATAGGAATTTTGAATTATAACGATCCGTTTATTTGGGCGGAAAAACATTTTTCAGAAAATGTTTTCTGCATTTTCTGCCGTTTGTATAACAGAAAACATAAGTCAATGGGAAATATTTTCTATGGTCAAGGGAAAACAAGTCTATTTGGGCGGAAAATGTTTTCTTCTTTTAAAAGGCAGAAAACGTTTTCTGAACTAAAGTTTTAGTACCACTACATTACAACCACTACCATCACCTCCACCACTACTACAGCCACAACCACAGCACCACTGTTGCCGCCACCACCACAGCCACTACCACTACCATCTCTACCTCATTACTACCATTACCACCACCACCTCTATCACCACCCCCAACACCTCCACCCTACACCACTAATGCAACCATTAGTGCATTAATTTCACAAAACGTAACCAAACATAAAAAAAAATATATTTTCTATGAAAAACATTTTATGAAAAAAAAATTCTATAGAAAATATTTTTTGGATTCTTTTTTTCAGAAAACATTTTTCGTCGAAACAAATGAAATGGTATTATATAATACAAGTTATATCATGTGCTAAATAGATAAAATAAAGAATTAGATGAAATAAGTGTACACTTTTTTATTATGTTTGATTATGATTGAATAAAAATGTGATTATTTTTTTTATTATTGGTGAATTACTATTGTGTTAATGATAATATGGTAATTAATGTGAATGTAACATTTTCTTTTTTAAATTTCTTCTTGTAGTTGTCAAATAATTTTTTTTAAACTCTAACATGGTTGAATTTTTAACAAAATAAAAATTGACACATAACTTGTCATTGTGAGCTAAATTGTAATTCTTAAATTGTAAGGTGGTGTTTGATAAAATTAAAAATTGAAAACTAAAAGCTGAAGACTGAAAATTAAGTAATAAAAATTAAATGCTAAATTTTTTAAATAAAAAAGTTGTTTAATTAAAAAATTAAGTGTCGAACTAAAACATATTGTTTAATATATACAAGATTAAATTTAAAATTTATTATTTTTAAGTTGTATTGCAACAACAGTGACAACAATATCAGTGGTGATGAAGGTAAAGACATAGTGGTTCTAGTGATGGTGGATGGATAATGTGGTGGATGTAAAAAAGATGGCGACAATGGTGTAGTGATGGTGGTGGTTATGATAATGGTAACAATAGTTGTGGAGGTGAAGGGTAATTGTAATAGTGGTTGAGAGATGATGGTAATGCAATGGTGACTGTGATGGTGGTGTGGTGGTAGTAGTGAAATGATGATAGTACTTATACAATAATAAGAATGGTGGAGGTTGTTGTGGTGGCAGCGACAGTAAGAGTGGTGATGGTAGTGACAGTGGCGGTGGTAGAAGTGGTGGCAACGACGGCGGCGGCAGTGATGTTTTAACCATGTATGTTTGTACACAATTATTTATAAATTCAGTCAGAATTAAGTAGATATCATACCACTTAAATTTTTGTTAACTTTAGTCTATATTTTAAGAGCTATTTAAACTTTTAAGTGCTGCCCATTGTGATTATCAGACGGATTTAATTCATTTTCAATTAATGCATTTATAAATTCAATTAGAATTAAGTAAATATCATATCACTTAAATTTTTGTCAACTTTTAGTCTATATTTTAACAGCTATTTCTTATGTGATACCCATTGTGATTATCAAACGGATTTAATTCATTTTCACTTAATGCATTCAGTTTTAAGTATTGAATTAAGTTATTAAACACCAAGTGTCAATTTTCTATCTATCTTCTATACTATTATTAAGTGAAGGTTAAATTTGGTGTCCAAGCCTGTGGTTGATTCTCCTCATACCAAGTGTCCCTCATTTTTTAAAGGGAAAATTAGTGAAAGATCCCTACCAAACTTTGAGTAGTAGAAGAGAAGCAATATATATTTTCTTATTAGCTAAGGCCCCTCACCACTAACCCAGCCAACTCTCTCTCCCATTTCCAACTCTCTCTCTCTCTCCTCGATGTTTATGGCCCAATCTGGATCGATGAGCATATCGCTAGTGGCTCGTTCGACCATAGAATTCACCATCTTTGCTTCAAATTTCAAACCCTATGAATGTCGGAGACGATCTAAATCTAAGAATCTAATCAACAGTGCACTTTTTCAGCGAGATCACGACGAAATCCAAGGAGGCACCAACTCTTTGCTTCGAATTTCAAACTCTGTGATTGCTCAAGACGATCGAAATCTGAGAATCTGATGAACCATACACTTTTCTGGCGAGATCACGACAAAATCCAAAGAGGCACCGATTCAATTTGAGTAGATCAAGCCGAAATCCAAAATCAAAGTAAAACAATTTGCTAACTCAAAAGTGAAAAACAGATTAAAGAGTCTTTAAACCACATTTCTCTCCTTTGTCTTTAACAATCTATTCTCTCTCTTGTTCTCTTTGTGTGTGAAAGTTATAAATTTATCTGTGGTTCAAATTTCTCTGTAGTTGAAATTTTTTGTGAATTTGAAATTTGAAATTTCTCTCATCTCTCTTTAATAATATATTCTCTCTCTTGTTCTCTGTGTGTGAAAGCTATAACTTTATCTGTGATTCAAATTTCTTTGTGGTTTAAATTTTTACTTGTGATTTTTAATTTTCTCTGGATTAGATGTATGGATTGGGAAATTAATTGGAATTGTGTTCAAATATGATTTTCTCTATGTTTTTGAGGAATAGTTAGCAATTTTTTGTGATTTTTTTCTGTGTTTAACATGCTTATAAGTTCGTAATTTTCTCTGGATTTTTATTTGTAGTTTATAATTTTCTGTGGACATGCAAGTATATGATGGCCAAAGAAGATCAACATGACAAAGAATTTTTCTCTAGTTTGAACTCAAAGGAATTTCAATTTTCTCTGGTTTGAATCCAGAGAAATTCTTTGGGAGATCCAGAATTTCTCAAGGAAGTCCAGAGAATTTCTCTGGGATTGAAATTTCTCTAGATCGATGTTGAAGGATCTTAGATATTATGAAAATATTGAATGTCCTTTATGCCATAAAATCTTAATACTAGGGATCCTAAAAAAAAAAATCCCCTTTTTAAATAAAATAAAATAAAAAGATAAATAGGAGGAGTCCCTTAAATCTTAAATTTGCTAAAAAATACACTTATCAATTGACTGATACACAATATATAATAAGTATTTTATTTTATTTTATTTTTACTTATTTGATTTGCGCATATATCGCATGTAGCAACCGTTAGTATTCCATAAAACAAACATAAGATAACTTAAGTAAACTAATAAAGAAAAAAACAATTGGAAAAAATCAGGCCTAATTAAAAAAGGCACATGAAACATGTTATTAAAATTCCATTGAAATCCTAAGTAAGGCTGGCATTTGATGAAAACAAAGGGTCAAAATGGGCAAAAACAACAAAAAGCAAGCCATGGCACGTTTACGTAAATGGAGTCTCTTCTATTATATTATAGATATATTAAACAGATATTCACCTTTTAAGAAGCTAAAAGCATATATATATATTAAACTGAATTTCTACGTATACTTACAAAGTTGAGCAGCCGCACCAAACTGGGGCGGTTTCATGCAGCAATAACATGGTTTGCAGCAACTTGAGAAGAGCTAACACCCTTGGTTAAGGGAACCTTGTCTAATGTTGTTGGGTTGTTTAAGTTATCAACGTCGGAGGCAGAGGAAGAGGGAGATTCACCTAGTAAAAGCAACGATGGGAAGCAGGTCATCAACTAAAAGAACTGGTGGGAGCCTAGCATCTCATCTACCACAGCAAATCACCATCTTTAATATATGAAAGAATGACAAAAATGAAAATCGCTAACTTTCACACAAAAAATAAGCAAATAAATAAAAAGTAAAATGAGGCCACAATTGGGATAAAATTACAATGTACGCGAGGAAATATTTGATATTTGGATATTGTTACCTTTAGTATTCTAAGCAGGGAACAGAAGGAAAGAAAAATGTGAATAGGAGAATCTACAGTTGATCGATAACCTACACGTTTGTACTAGAAAGAAGATACCACAAAAGATTTTTGTCCAGTGCAATAAATTTCCTGCTCTGATATTTCCAGTTGCTTCAGTTTCTCTTATGGAAGTCATGATTTCAAATGAAATTATAGTACTTATTCATCGGCCTTTCCTCCTGTAAAGTGTGCAATGTCATATCATCACCAGATTCATGTAGAGAATTCCATTTCTAGATTTCAAATTTAAAGTTGAGGTGAAAAATATTAATATGCTTTTTAAATTTAAGAAATGATTGCAGGGACGGAAGTCAGATTCTAAATGATGAATTACACTTACCACATTTCGATCTTATGCGTAATTTCAGAAGGATTTTCCACAATATAACCATTATTCTCAAGTTTGGTCCTATTCTTAGGAGATGAATTTGGACAAACAAAAAGTAGTGAAACTTTCATGTGAGATGAATAAAGAATTAAAAAAAAAATGTTCATCCAATGCCATATTTCTCTGCCCAAATACTGACATATTGAACAGATTTTCCGATCAAAATTTATTCTAATTACCAGGAGGGACTATTTGCAAAGTTGTCTGCAACTCATGCCGATCTCTGCTTGCATTGGTATGCGAGTAATAAATTACTCTCATATATGCCACCTAGATGCATTTGTAGGCCAGAGCAGCAGCAGCAATGTCCTTGGATTTCTCATATTCATGAGCACAAAACCTATCAATTTAAGAATGAATAGCAAGAAGACAAAGGAGAGGAAAATTGCATAAGCTTTTCACATTGCACGAAGAAGAAATCATCCATCAAAAATACAAGTAAAAGTTACTTTCTACCCTTCGTTTCAAATACAGTTCTGTAAAGAGTGATGCATTACAAATAGTGGGAAATGATCCATTACCACGGCGAATATATAGGAAAAATTCCTTTCCCCGAACTGGTTGAACAATATATGCACATGGTTATAAGAGAGGGTATAATGGAACTATAAAATACTTAGAGAAGAAAATATAGAAAACAGTTGTGAAACCCAGAATGAGGTTTAGGGAATGCCTGTTCAGGTGGAGTGGCATTTTGAGCATTTTGACCTTAGTTGAAATATGCATTTTGACCTTAGTTGAAATATATAGAATCGCACTTTAAGATATAGGAAAGGGAGAAACAAAACCTCAACACAAGTTCAAGTATCTAGATTTCCAAACACACAAGTACGCACATATGCTTCTTGGACAGATAGTCACTGAGACAATTCTACAAACCACTTTAAACAAATCACAAAAAAAGCATACATCCCAACGAGAAAAAGGTTGCTGATAGAGCTTTGAGTATTACTTACTCACAGAGTTTTGCTGTGCTACTACACATTTGCATTGACCGAATCATCTCGCCTTGCTTGGCACTCTCGCCATTGCTAGATTCCAATAAAGAGGCTCCATGAAGAAACTTAAGGGCTGCCTGGAAGTAAAGACCTGTACTTTCAACAATTAATCCAGAATTCTGCAAAAGATACCCAAGTAGTGCCAAGAGTTAGGAAGATGAATAAACCAATTCCACAGTTGAAGAGGGGAAAAAATCTAGCGACCTTAAGGCGATCAGCCGAGTGTTAAAGATCCTTTGCCTCATTTACAATATTAGTGGCAGCCTGACAGGAGGAATCTCTTCTGGCAGGAATTGTGGCATCCGCATCCCTGACCCTATGGCCATTAATTGTTGGTTGTCTTGATCTAATCGGCTGATTTCCATTCTGGTTCTCAGACCTTTTTGTGTGTTTTGAAGCCTTCAATGCATCATCACCCTCAGAAGCATCAATTAACAAACTATTTACTCCATTCTTGAGCTCTATAGAGAGAGATTAACAAACTATTTCATCAATTAACAAGCTCTATAGAGAGATTCTTGAGCTCTTCATTAGACTAAATATGTTACTACTTTAATTTGAACCTCTACAGCTAGAGGGAAAAAATCCAGAAAAAGTTATGGCATTTGACTTGAGCAAAAGTTGCCACCACTCTAAAAGAGTCGAGAGAATAATATATTAGTTATGGACATGCATTGTCCATTGACTGTTGCTTCAAGCTCTGCTGCAAACACATTCCGAAGGACTTAGAAGACAAGCAGAAGTTCAATTCAAATAAAGTTCATAATGCCTTTTTATATTGGTGTGGAAACAGGTGGTACAACCATGAGATGTCTCTTTAGAGGTTTTAACCAAAGTAACTTTCTTTGGTGGCCAAGGTAAACAGGGTTGGGATCACAAAATATTTATTAATTTCTAAGTGTAGTTCATAGTGTTATTTTATTGGGGTAGTTTTTTTGTGGAATTAAAATCCATTATTCATACTAATAAAGAAACATAATTTCAAAAGAGGAAATGGTCTCCTGAGCTTTCAAGTAATGTTTTTAATAAATATATGTTATTGCACCCTTTCAACTGCCAACCAAAATTCTCATTTCAATGTTCATATTCCTAATTTGTATGTAGTGTGGAAGTCAAAACGGACGATGCTCCCTAATTAATAATTATATGTAGCTTGTATGACATAAATTCCTATCGGTATTGGTAAATGGAGATAATTGTGTGCTATAATGAAAGAGTAAAATTCATAAGGATTAATACAAACAAAACTTGGAAGAAAAAGAATACCAAAAGGAAAACTCAATGTGAACTTTTTTGCAGGGAACAAAATACAACAAAAATTGCAGAAGAAAAAAAAAAACAAAACAAAACAAAAAGAGCAAATAATATTGAAAAAATCAATCATATTCTTACCTCCCCTTACTGATAAGCTGTAGGCCTCCAAAAAAACAACAACAGCAAACAAATAAACCTACAAAAACAATAAATGATAATGAAAAACAAAACAAAAACTACAAGAAATATATATATATATATAGTTTGCAGGAAGGGAACAAAAATTGCATATTTTCTATTTCTATTTTCATAGGCATATTATCAAACAGGTAGTATGCATAGGAAGAGGCTTTGCCATGAAGAGAATTTATGAGTTATTTTAGTGAGGCATATTATCAAACAATTGGTACGCATAAGTTATCCACACATTAACAAACACGAAAAACATACAAATCAGATATCAACATCTCAGTTGAAGACAAACAATGAGCATAAACATCGCCAACATGTATTGCAAGAAGACATAAGACAGGAAAATACACAGCCTTGAGTACAGTGGATGGCGGTGGACGTGCAGTTCTCTACATTTATTCTTCGACTGATGAGAATGAGTTCAAAGGAGTGTTTGGGGTTCAAAGGACGAACGGCGGCAGAGGCAGACGAAGCACAACGGAGGACGGAGGACGACGAACCACGACGGAGGATGGAGGACGAACGGGAATCTGAGGTAAACCTGAAATCGCAAAGTTAGGGTTGGATTTTGTTTGCTATTTTTGTTTGCTATTTCGTGTTAGGGTTTGGGATTTCAGCAAAATAAGGGTCTGTGAGGATTTTGAGGAATGTTTTGCAAACACATCTGCAACAGAGTATGGTCTTTGGAGAGTTCCTTCAGAGTATGTCATATATTAAGTGTATAGGCAGTTAAAGTATACCAAAACTAAGTAAACTTTCTGCTGTTGTGGTATGATCCTGTTCCTTCATTAGTTGTCATGTGTTTTCTTCCTTTTTTGCATCCTTTTATGTCCATTCTCTACTTGCTGGATCCAGAAATCTGTAGACAGGCAAAAAAATTATTAGAACTGTACCTTTTTAGCTCAAAGTTTTTCTTCCTTTTTTTTTTCTTTTTTTTTCTTTTTTTCTTTTTAAAATCAAAATGAACATTAATATTGCCTACTTACCCACTCTATTGAAACAGGCACTGTTATCCAAAATTTCATACATGTTTGCATTTTGTGGAAGGAGCATGCTTTGAATCACATCAAACACTGGAAAAATAAGAATGCTAACTAGATCCAAACAATCTATTGAAATACATGGTATGCTCCTGTTGAAATAGCCATTTTTTGAAATAGCCACCAAACTAAACAATCTACTTACCCACTCTATTGAAATAGCTATTTTTTTTCTGCATGATCCTGTTATGTTGCATCACATGGAATGATCCAAACAATCAACTCCATTGCTTTCAAAGAGAGAACTGAATCCAGACAAAAGCTTCACCCAATAGAGTGTAAACTGTTAAAGTAGACTAGTGTGGTTTTTAAATTTACAAAGCGAAAACCCAACCCTGGAATCCAACAGTGCCTCTTCTCTCTCTCTAAATTATTAATTGGTTCTAAGACATCACTAACCCTTCATTTTGGCTGCTTGGAAAACCTAATACGAAGAAAAGAACATATCCAAGTTTCCATACTTTTGTTTATTGAGTTGTAATATGCTTACTTTTGTTCATTGAGTTGTAATATGCTTACTTGTGCAAATTTTATTTTATTGTTTTTTTGTTAAATTTTTCATATTCTAAACTTGAACTTTTCTGCTTTTCTCATATTTTCTCTGCAATCTAACACAACATATATATATATATATATATTTAACTGTTTACTTGGGAATTAAGCAATTTTATGATGTTAGAGAAGATGTTTATGTGGCTACTCACTCTACTATTGGACTATTATTAATTAAACCTGTTAATGTCTACTTAAGTACTCAAGGAAAACATGAAGGTCTCCATAATTTCTATTTAAGACCAATGAGATTTAGATTTGTCTAGAAATTATATTTTGTAATAATGATATCCTTTGCTCCTTTCTTTCTTGGACTTTTTTTTTCTCCCTTTTCCATAATTGTCACATGGATGCTCCAAATATACAATTATAGTTAGGAAAATCAACACCACTTATTAATAGCTCTTTATTTGTAATTTTCATTGATGAGATTATTTGGTTTCCTCTGCCTATCAATTTCGAGTCAACTTTTAGAGCGATAAAGAAGTTTTGATTGCTTTCTTGTAATGAAATAATTTGTGAATATGTTCATATATTGGCATGTATACATTTGTTGTATTTCGGAACCATATTTTTGCTTCAATCTTTTTGAGCAAGAAGTATATAAATTACAGCTTAATTTTTCCTTTTCTTTTTTCTTCTAATTTTTTATGCACAATGAAATGGCTACATTTTTTTTCTTCTCTTGAGAAGATAGTGAACTTCAATGCACATGCGTACACACACGAACAAATGGACAAAAGTTGAAGCCATGAGGATATGAACTAAGGTAAAGATAAAAACTTTCACCATAAGCTTTTTTTCTATAATAATTATGTCGATTGAGGGTTGTGATTTTTTTTCTTGATTTCAAATTTGTTTTGTAATGTGTTAATGTGACTTTCTTAAAAGATAACATCTTTGTCATATATTTTTGTTGGATATGTCGTTTGATATTTGAGCAACTGGTGGTTGTTATTTGCTGTAAACTCTTGATTGTGATGTGCAAATCCATGAGTCTTCTTTGTGGTAATTGAGGCTTCTTTGTAGCATTGATTTGGATTAGGTGAAGTCTTCTTTTATTTTGAAGGAGGAAGTGTTGTCTTATAAATTATTTATGTTTAAATTTCTTTCTTTCCCTTATTTAAAAAAAATTATAGATTGATTAGTCAAAACTTCCTATTTGGCTTTGAAGCTAGAAAAAACTAGCTTTCAGGTACTGTGGGAGTGGCAGAGGTTTGGGCACCATCTAAGATTTCTGAGGGTCTGCTTGTTTTATTCTTTTTTGTAGTAGGGTGTGGGGTGGTTGTGTTTACCACTGTTCAAATTTGTACCATCTCTGGATGACTATGAATCTACGCTGAACCTACACTAGTGAAGATTTCAAATACCAATTGCAGAAAACCCACCGTCACAATTTTTTTTTAAAAAAAAAAAAAAAAATCAACATGCATTCAATTTTGAATTTGCACTAACCTAGACTTTTATTTTGTCCTCTTTAGCAGGTATAGCCATTCGGATTGGTAGGGTCCTTGATGTGGTGAAGCGGTAGGAAAACACCTAAGCTTGTATGGACAAAAGGTAGGTCTAGATGCACGAGGAACTAAAATCTGTGTAAGTGACATTGAATGAATTGACAAAAAAAATTTGTAGATACTCATGAGGATAGAGGACAAGGTAAGGATGAGGAACACGAAGAAGAGTTGGGAACAGATGAAGATGATGATGATGAGGGAGATGAAGAAGAGTCGGGAACAGAAGATGTTGTAGACGGAGATGAATTTTTTAAGGAGCCTTGACCTTGGCCTTTTCATTGTTTTTGTAGTTGAATATGTTAATTTGTTTTGTGGTTGTCCCAATTTGTTTATGAACACTTTTTTCTTACTTTCGGGAGTTTAGTATGATATGTTTTGTGTATACAAAAAATTTTATGGTTGGTGTTTTGGTAAATATGACCACACCAGGTTGTTTATTGTTTGAAATATTGTAGTAAATTGCCTTTTTTTCCTTCTAAATTTTTGAAAATTGTCAATGAAGATAAGTTGCTTGATATTTGAAATATGATGTATTGTGCTTGATGTTTAATGTATTGAATAGTAATTTATGAGGAGATTGTGAATGATACAGTTTGTTAACTTCAGACCTTGTTATATAATCATTTCTAATTTGTAAGCCCATGGACTGACTAAACACTCAAGATTTTGGCTTTTAGTTGTTATTTGGATTATGGCCAATGGATTGGCCAATTGATTTCTATCAAGGTAGTGCATTTGGGGACTCATTAGTCAATCAATTCTTGCAAGAAAGTGGAAATACCAATCAATTGGCCAATCCATTTTCGAGCCCATGGCCATGACAAACAGAAAAATAAATAAATAAATAAATAAATGCCAAAGTTTGACTTTTTTGTATAATTTGCTTGAATATTGTTTACAATCGATTCATAGTGAATCTATTAGGCACTAGACATGTTACAATCTCACAATCAATTGGAGCAAATTTGTATTGTTTAAACTTGGTTGGCAATGGTACACAATCAATTGCTCTGTACTGTTGCAATATGGATGCATTTTGTGCTGAATAGATTGGCATCCATAATCAAATTTACAACCTTACACGTCAATAATCTACACATACATGGATTACCAAAATCAAATTTACATCCACATTTCATCATCCATAAAGAAGCCATCCAAATTACATCACGTCTATACAAAAAAATGGTCACTAATCACTTTTGGTGAAGGGGTTAATCATCCATGTCCATTTGTTGGCCTTTAAATCATCGCTGGAAAACCTTCACCTCCATCAAACTTCTCCGCACTATAGGAACATGAAATGGCCCCATCCACATATAAATCATCAAAAGTAGATGCTTCATTATGAAGGACAACATTAGGAAGGTAAGGATATTGTTATCACGTCACGTACCAAATATCTAAGATTTTTGAGATGGGATACATGCTCTCATTAGAAACTAGAGACATTTTTTTGTTCTTGTTAGAAACTCGATCTTTATACCACATTCTAGGCAACTTTTGTCTAGAATCATATATTGCAGAAATTTCCTTATACCGTTTATCTACAACAATCCAATTGAAGTGAGTAAAGAATTGAACAATGTTATGATCACCTTTTCAAATATCCCCTTAATGTTCCATTCAGACCTTCACTAAGTTGTGTGTTTTGCATTCCTCCAATAAATACCCACTTCATATACATGTGCGCCCACTGCTATTTTTTTCTCCAAGTTCTTTTCATCCACTCATTCTCTTGTAAGTTGTATTTATCAATCAAAGAATTTTAAGCTTCAATTAATTCATGCTCATTCTCGTAGTCATAAATGCAAGCTTTTAAATTGCTACTAAATTTTGAACCAAAAAAGAAAAAAGAAAAATGGTACGTTTCATAGAATGACAGGCACGGCAGCAAACAAGGGGTCACTGCAGTCCATCATTCCCTACTGTCGTGCCTGCCATGCTATGAAACGGTACCATTTTTCTTTTTTGTTTTTTGTTTTTTTTGTTTTTTTGTTTATAAGAGTTACATTAATTCTTATTTTATTATAACAAAACAATCTATCTACCAGTCGCCATCTTCCCTACCCCTCGAGCAAAAGGTCTCTGCTTTACATGGAGTAAAAAAAGCTAGTTGTTTTTTTATTATTTTTCATTTATACATTTTTGTCTTCTCTCAAACGGATTGAATGGTGTTCTCTGTCTTTGCTTCACCGTCATTCTCTCGGATTTACAGACCATTATTGTTCAACAAACTGGTATGTATATCTCTCCCTCTCTATATATATATGTATGTATGTATATATGTTTCGTATTTTATTTTGTATAGTGTATTAGTGGGTTCAACAAGTATAATGGTTTGGTTTGTTTTTTGTGAATGGATTGAGAAATACAATTGTATATTATAAGAAAAATTATTTATTATGTAATTTTTGTATACATGCTATGTATTTTTGTATAAATATTATATAATTTTTTTATGAGTTACGATAATTTATAATTCATAAATTTTTTTTTTGGTAGCAATGTTACGTATTTTTGTGGTAATATTACACATTTTTATAACAATGTTATGTATTTTTGTAGCAATGTTATGCATTTTATGGTCTAAAAAAAGCTTCAATAAAAAAAATGTATAACCTTACTACAAAATACGAATTTAATTTTTTAATCATAAATTATCATAACTAACCAAAAAAAATGACATAAGATTTGTGACAAAAATACGAAACATATACCAAAAAATTATATAATAAGAGGGCATATGGTTGAGCGATGAAGGGTTTCGAAAGCTAGAGAGAGATAGCAGGAGATTCGAATGAAAAAGTGAAGAGACGGAAAAAAGGAAAAAAGTTTTTGATTAAACAGAAACGGAGGCAAAAGCAATCAATACGCCTAAAAGAACGATGGCGTCAGACGGCGCACATGAAGAAAGAGGCAGCTAACAGGCGCGTCACATGTACGTAGCAGTAAGAGGGAAACGCATAGCTAAAACGGTTGGGTTGAAGTGCATAACAGCTCATGCATGTGAGAAGGTCCTTAAAAATCTTGATTTTTTAGGGAAAGCATGTCGGCCTGAAATGAATGATCTCGACTATCAAATTTACTGGAAGAAAATACAGATATAGGTTCCATCACCTCAGAATGCCAAGGTAATAGAATCTAGGAGGCAGTTGTGGGGATGTATTTTCTGAATACCAACACGTGGCAAGGTGACGTCGACGTGTCAGCCGAGGTGCCACGTGTACTGGTTGTGACACCGAGGTTATCTCGGCAAGGCCAAGGTTATCTCTGAAAATATCGAAATCCGAGATAAATGGATAACGGGTAAGAGTCCTAGAGTAAAGAGGGGACTTTACTAAGATAAGGATAAAACTTTTAGGGAGTTTATACAAACCACTCGTGGATGCACAAATCAGTAAAATTTTCACTATGTGAATTAATTTTCACACAATTTTCTTATATCGACAAAATTCAACTATTGTAGGCATTTATAAAAAATAACAGAAATTGACAATTTTCATCTATGGCAGGCATTTTTTTAAAAAAAATTGACAGAAAGTGTTCACATCAATTTGAGTGAACAATAGAATAAATAATAATAATAATAATAAAAGCCATTTGTCTTTATCACTGATGTTCCAAACAGACTCTCTCCATCCCCTTATATACATTGCACATTCATTTCACAATCCTACCCACCTCCACCTCCATCTCCCAAAAGCTTTGAACACTTCATCTTCTCCATTTCCAATTATCTTTAAACCCACCCTCTCTCTCTCTCTCTCTCTCTCTCTCTCAAATGGGGAACTACATCTCTTGCACCCTATCATCCTCACCAGGCAAAGCTCCAACAGTAATCTTCCCAAATGGAAAAACCCAACAATTCCACCAACCCATCAAAGCCGCCGAACTCATGCTCGAGAAACCCAACTTCTTCCTCGTCAACTCTCTCTCTCTCCAAATCGGCCGGAGATTCTCAGCCCTCAACGCCGACGAAGACCTCGAGACTTCCAACGTCTACCTCATGTTCCCCATGAAGAGATTCAATTCCGTCATCAATTCCGCCGACTTGGGCCCACTCTTCCTCGCCGCCAACAAGGTCTCCGCCGCCGCCGCCGGCGGAATTCTTAGGGTGGCGCCGCAGCCGGAGAAGGAGGAGGAGAATGACGTGGAAGATGGTTTGGCGGCGGAGTTTATGAAGCGTAGGTTGTCTGTGTGCAGGTTGAGGAAACCGTTGTTGGAGACGCTTGTGGAAGAACCTGTTTGGTCGAGGTGATGGAGGGTGTTGATGAAATGGGTTAATTCCTCTGTTTTTATTTTTATTTTTATCATGGGTGTGTGGAAGGGTGTTGTTAATTTATCTAGTTTTTTTTAATTAAAATTTGTTAAACAAGTTTTAAAATGTATAATCTTGTCTCCCATAAAAATTAAAAAAAAACAAAAAAAATACCAACAACAACACCAACAACAACAATAAAATGTTGTATATATACATCTATAAACATCTATACACATCTATAAACCATTAATTTTGAGTTTTCATGATTTCGTTAGTTTTTGATTATTTATTACAATGCATTTTAAAATATTTATTACTGATCACGAAGGTGAATACAAATTTTTTATATGAATGGATCTCATCAATTATATAGAATCCACTTTACATAAGAAAAATATGTTTAATTTGGTAATTAAATTCTGTACATATAAATATTGAAATATCATTTTCATCTCCATTGATAAAAATATTTAAAAATACTGAATATTGTCTTCGTTCAAAAAAATAAAATAAAATAAATTAAAATGCAACCAAAATTTATTATTTTGGGATTGTGTTTGATAAGAGATTTTAAATGTGATGTGAAATTTGGACATGAAATTTCTAATTTTTTTAATATAGGCCCAACCAATCAATGTTCATCCCTCCCACTATAAAATGAAATAAATTACTTAAACTTAATTATATTTGGTTTGGTACAATTTATTTGAAATTAATTCATTATATAAATTAGTTAATTTTAAATACTTTTAAAACTCATTAATTTTTTATGGACTCGATAATTTTATATGTAAAAAACATTTAAGCTAGGTGAACTCCAATGCTAATCAAGTCAATTAAAAATGATTTCAGATCACATCAAATAAAAATAAAAATTCGTATTTAAACACATTTTTAGACTAGATTGGACAATATTAAACAATCTACAATTGGAATAGATTGGACTCACCCGTTTAGCATGACCCAAAATCATTAATAGTGAGCATAAATTTGGTAAGTTTAAAAAAGAAAAATGTTACAAACCCCAAGAAATTTATTGACAAATTATCAAATGTCTTACATAGATATGATATGTGAGATATTTGGTAATTTTATTAATAAATTTCTTTGTGTCTCTAGCATCACTCATAAATATTCAAAAAGTAAAAAAAAAAATTGTCAAAAAATCAAAAAGTTAAAGAATTGTATTAAAAAAAGTCTAAAAGTTTATTTCCTCTCTACTTTATGTACTTTTTTTTTTGTTTTAAGAAATCAAAAATATTGAAAACATAAGCTTGTTTGGTTCCAGTTTTTAGAAAATTTTACTTTTTTTATTTTTTGTATTTTAATGTTTTTAATGAATTTTTTTAATATTTTAAACATTTTTTTTAATTTTTAGACACGCTTAACATAAATACACTTAAAAAGTATAATATTTGTAAAAAAGATCTTTAAAAAATACGCTAAATACCAAAAAATACAAAAAAAAATATAAAAAATCAGTACATTTTCATATTTTTGTGTATTTATTAATTTTTAAAAATATTTTTTCAAAAATATTTTACTATTTTAGAATAATCTAAGTAAGGTGTATCTAAAAGTAAAAAAATTACTTAAAATTTTAAAAATATTCATTAAAAATAAAAAAATACAAAAAATAAAAAACTCAGTTTTCAGAAAATTAAAACCAAACATACTGATTAATTTTTTTCACCTTATATTGTAGTAAAAAAAATTACTAAAATAAATTATTTTCAAGTCACTCCTAATTATTTTTCTAAACATTAAAGAAGATGAATTTAATTTACTTTGTTTTATATTTGTACTAATTCTTACATTTTTAACATAATTATATTATTTTTTTACGAGATTTTAATTAACATAACAGTTATTTTGCATTAGTAATTCATTAATTATACAAATGAAAAAAATATAATTATCATATATTTTTTTATTAAAATATATATATTTATCTTTATTTATTTTAGTATTTACCTACCATCTATATTAATTTTAATTATTTTAATTTTACTAAAAAAATCAATATCAATATAATTATATTAAAAGTATAGAATTAACTGTATTTTTTACAAATCTAAGGGGGGGTGTCGAGTGCAATTTAGCATAAAACAAAAACAAGACTCATACGTACCGCTCTCTTCCATTCCATCCTTGTCCACTCCCTTCTCAGTATCGTTGCTCTTTCCACCATCTCTCTCTGCAAAACCCTTGCCACTTCCATTGTTACTCTCTCTCTCTCTCTCTATAACTTATGGCCGGGATCCGATTACCGCCGGAAGACTCCGAGGTCTCGCAGGCCCGAGCTTTGACCACAACCGATCTAATCTCCGACGACGACCGTTCTGTGGCGGCGGACTCATGGTCCATTAAGAGCGACTACGGTAGTACTCTCGACGACGATCAACGACACGCCGACGCTGCCGAAGCTCTCTCCACCGCCACCTTCCGCGCCGCCTCTGATTACAGGTCCATAGCTGTTTCCACAATGCTTGCAAATTACTTCACTCTCTTTGTTCAATTGCTGATAAATTAGGGGAACGTGAAAAAAAAACTGGAATTTTGATATCGGATTTGCATTAGAACTGGTGAATTTCGTCTAGTTAGGGCTTTTGTGCTAATTTTGAGGTCAGTGCATTTGTAGGATTAAAATTTTTCTCTTGCTTTGATTCAATTAACACAGTTGATTCCTAAAGTTGTTGACGAAATGGACCCTAAAGATTTATAAATTGGAACTATGAGGAGCTGATTTGTATTATGTTCAGATCTTCAATTCATAATTGTCAATATCTGATTGGTTTGATTATTTTTAATTATGACTTTTGTTCCCTTTTTTTTCTCTAATTATTTTTACTATCCTAGACATCTGGAAAGTTGTTTATTTTTTTTTAATTTATTATTTTTTTCAATGATTCTGAAGACATTTTCTACAAGAACTAGATATTTTAATTTATGAAAAAAGTTATGAACTTCTTTTTACGAAATACATTATTTATTGACCTGATTAAAGGGTATGGATGCGGAAAATAGACAAACAATTCGGGATGGAGAGATTATTATTATTATTTATTTATTTTTTTGACAACTGCTGTTTTGGTTGTTACTTATTATGGAACTTGATGGTAATAGGAAGAGATCAGATGTAGATTGTGTATGACTATTATTGCTGCTAACCAACTCTGAGCCTGGGTTTGTACTGTTTTTTTGAGTGGAGAGAATAGGAGATTTGTTTAATAATACTAAAGTTGGGAAAAGAGGTCTATTATTATAATCTGAGTATAGCCTTTTTGAGTTTTAATTTGCTTTTATGAACAGTTCTGATAAGGAGGAGCCTGATGCTGAAACAGTTACATCCATGTTGGGTTTCCAAAGTTATTGGGATGCCACTTACGCAGATGAATTGGCGAATTTTCATGAGCATGGCCATGCTGGTGAAGTTTGGTAAGTTTTGCTTTGACTATTGTCACTTCTCTTTGATCTTCTTCTTTAGGGATTGTAAGTGTCACTATACTGTCTTTACCCTATTATTAAGGTCATTGTCTTGTGCCTGGTGGAAAAGGAGTATCCTTGGTAGTTGCTATTAACCGTATATTCCCACATTAGAATTCTTTTTCTTCTTCTTTTTGGTTCATTTTTGTTTGAGAGAGGAAGTTCAACTCAGTTATCACTATAGTGTAGTAATAAATTCTTTGAGAATGCTATCAATTTGTAAATATGAGAATAAAGTTCTTGTTGTCATCGGCTTGGAGCTAAAGGGTAATCATAGGGCTCTCACTGAATACTCTAACAGCATGATTGCTGTTATGAGCTTTTGTCATCTCTGATCTGGACCAAACAAATTTGTTCAATATTAACAAATTGTGGTCTGTAGCTAAACCACACAGGCGACACTCACCCCAGCCTCACGTCTTTCTCTCAGGAAAAAAAGGGAAAGTGGTGGAGGAAATAGAAATTGTGTTTTTCTTTGAGAGTATGAAGAAAGCTAACTCTTACTTTTGATACACTGTTTCTATAGGTTTGGGGCTGATGTTATGGAGACTGTTGCTTCTTGGACCAAAAGCTTGTGTACTGACTTTTCACAAGGACACTTGGTGAATCATGTTGATGATGACAAATTTGGGCCTGTTGAACAGAATGACAAAGATTTGTCTAGTTGGAGTGTACTTGACATTGGCACTGGCAATGGTCTGCTTCTACAAGAACTTGCTAAGCAGGGGTAAATTTTAAAATTTTCCTGCTGCTCTAGTCTTCTGCGCAAATTTCAGTTAGAAAGCAATTAATTTGTCATAATTGAGTTTTTAAAATTGCAAAGTTAGGTTAATGTTTTGTCATCTACTCTCTTTAAAGTTGATGAATGTGTCCCGGTTGGTTGATGTAGGCCCATCATCTGGGAACAGTACAAAAAATATTGAATGGACAGTAAATGACAGGTTCTTGGCAGACAACAATTGTCTTGGATTTATGGTGGCTTTACCGTTAACTATTTTGCTTGGGTTCTTGAGGAGCCTGTTGGACTCTTGAGGAGATGTTGGGTTCTATTAGAATTGTTGGACATATATCTCCTAGTTCTATGAAATATTATCTGTGTCACATTTTGGTCCATACGGAAAGAATGGAATATAAAAGTTGTCAAAGACGAAGGAAGTAAATGTAGGAAATGGAAAGTTCCATGAATATTGGCATCTTGGTATTTTTGTCTGCCTTAATGTAGGAGTTTCTTTCAGATCATTTCACGGAATGGAGATTGCTTGTTCAGTATGTTTGTGATTTGGAGGCTGTCAAATCTTGTATGTGATTTCTTTTCTGTTCTTAACTTCTTACATTTACCTTTTGTCTTCTTGCTGTAGTTCTTGTAAATTCCATTTAGCTCATCATAATAAATATATTCCTTTTATTTAGAATAACTACTAGCTGAGTAAAACTGAGTAAACACAACCTATGATTGTGAATGAAACTTACTGAAAAACCCTATAGCCAGGCATATAAATCAATATCTTTCCTGAGTTGGCCCTAGAACACCATTATTGGGTGATTTTCATTGGCACCTAGAAGACTTCAGCGGTTGAATATGCAGACTATGTATGTCTGCGATGAAACAAATTACACACTTTAATTAGATGTGTGATCAATTGTTTTTTTTTCTCCAATTTGTTTTGACATGTTTAAAATCTACTGAAGATTGTAAGAAGAAAACCAATTTTTGATGTTTTTGGTTTCAGGTTCTTAGATCTCACCGGAACTGATTACAGTGAAGGAGCAATTGACCTTGCTCGAAACCTTGCTGACCGTGGTGGATTCACCAACATTAAGTTTTTGGTATGAGAGAACTTTGCAATTACATTGGAATGATGGCCCTGTATCCTCTTTCATTCCTATGCAGTTTTTTCTGCCCTTTTGATTTATGTTATGGGTAAGCCATGGAGTGATCAACTAACCTTGAATTTGAGTAAGTGCCAAGGAAATAAAAACCTTTCTGTATTTACAAATTACTCATCCCCCTTTTCAACTGGTACTGGACTAGCACTAGCTCTATAACTAGAAACGGAGCACTCGAATGTTGGGTTACAATTGAAAAAATGGTGATGTATACGATTTCCATATCTTGAATTCTTGGTTGTTCAGCTGAGTTCTACTAGTGGAGCAAAAGATTTAAATATCACAGCCAGTCACATATAACTGCCATTCTTCATCTGTAGACAATGTTGGTCAGTCTGAAAAATAACGTTTCCCCATTTATATGAAGAGTTTGGGATTTGATTGCAATACCTGCGTAGAGAATTTGTTCATTGATCATTGGAATTATAGAAATTAGGTAAGATTGAAAGATTTTGTAGCGTTTCTGTGTCACTTGAAGTTAATAATGACAACATCACTCACCTCCTCAAAGCTTTTACTAGATGAAACTCAGCTGTTCATCACATCTGCAAAGCCCCTGTATACGAAAAATTCAAATTATCTTCAGTAGTAGGTTGCCCTAATTATAATTCTAGAATTAACTTATTGTCATTATACATCATCATTGGTCTTATGATATACCTAGTCTTGTGCTGAAAAATCCTAACAATTAAGATGATAGATTTTTAATTCCTAAATACAATCAAGATTTTTAGGGTGGCTTTTACTCCCAAAATAATTCGATCTGATTCTTCATGCTAACCAGATTGATTCTGTTTTTCTTTGTTCTTTTCAATTCCTATTTGAGTTATACACAAGATATTAGTTACTTCTGTTTCTGTTCCATGGGGATATCCGAATAGCCTCTTGTTAACCAGTTATAGCAATATTACTTCCTTGTCATAACTAACAAATCATTTTTCAGCACAGACTGCAATTCACATTAATATGCTTAATGAGATAAAAATGTCCATATGCTAATATTAGTTTCTTTGCAAACTGAATCTTCCTGTTATACCTTGTCAGTTATTGCATTCCCCTTTTGAAGAAGACCTTGATTTGTTTGCTTCTGATTTGTTTCCAGGTTGATGATGTTCTTGAGACAAAGTTGGAAAGGAAGTACAAACTTGTCATAGATAAGGGGACTCTAGATGCCATTGGATTACATCCAGATGGCCCTATCAAAAGGTGAAGTACCATCTTGCTTGCATATTTGCACATTCATTCAAATATGTGATCAATAATGCCCAAGCTGTCTTACATTTGTTATAATAACTGGGAACACAAACATATGAGAAAATGTAGTTTATTTTTTCATATATCTCTGCAATTTCTGTGGATGTTTCTGTGTTCTCAATGTTCTTCGTTCTTCATTCACTGACCTACAATGTGCAAGGACAGTTTGACTCTATGAATTTATTCTTCTTGTTCAGAATCATGTATTGGGATTCAGTCTCAAGGTTGGTGGCATCTGATGGAATATTGGTGAGTATCTGTACTCCATTTAATCTCCTTTTTTAAATCAAACCTGTTCTAGGTACTATAAATTGGACTGGCATATCCTCTTATTTTTCTGTTGAAGGTACTGCCAAAATGATAATCATTCTTCACATAAGTAATCCTTGCTTTACAATTGAAGTCATTTTCTTTCAGAAACTTATCTAGTTAAAATCCAAATTCTAGGCAATTTGTAGACAAGTAACCCTATGCTAGTTTTATCTTTCACTCTTGTTGAACATTATGGCAGGTGATTACATCGTGTAACAGTACGAAAGATGAATTGGTGCAAGAAGTGGATAATTTTAATCAAAGAAGAGTTGGTGCCTCCCAAGAAGCTGCTGGGACCATCGCGGACCAAGAGGCCGGCAGAGATCCTCCTCTATTCCGCTTCCTTGATCATGTTCGTTCATATCCAACAATCATGTTCGGAGGATCTGAAGGATCACGTGTGACTACTGTAGCATTCCTGAGGAACTGAAATCAGCCACTTTCCATCATGATATGTCGTTTCTGTCAATTGGTTTTGCTGTTATTTGAGCTACGTGTGCCCATTTGTGGTCAAGGAAGTGAAAGTTACTAACCTTTAAAAGTTACGGATTCATGCTTCTGAATTTGATTTGCAGAAGATGCTTTTTTGGGATGTACTTTGCTGGGAATTGATCTGACTATACTATGTGTGTAAATCTGACCTTTGTTTGGGATTTGAAGTAAAGGTCTCAAATCTAGTGCTAAAAATGATCTATTGCACCTTGAGTTTCATATGGTTCTTTATTGCAAAGCAGTTGGGTTTTCCAACCAACACATTTCCATTTGTGTTTATGCTTCCTTTGAACATGTTGATTTTTAATTGCTGTATTCTGTGGCTTATATTAGGTTTTTTCAGTTGTACCGATTTGGTTATTACTTAATAATTGGGGCAAATGATTTGTAGCCATGTTTATAGCCTATGAAGCAAGGATATTCCAGACACTTGTCGGACACGCTGGAGAAAGTGTCCCATTTTGTTTTTGTTGGTCACTCGGGAACAAGTTGGGGACACTTCGGAGACATGCTAACGGACACCCAAGGTTGATATATATATATATTTTTTGAGTAAGATTAATGAATTTGATGAGAATAAATATTAATATATAATAAATATATATAATTTAAATATATGATATATAAATAAAAAAAATTATATATTTTGCATGAGTTTCTCATGCGTCATGTCTTTTATATATATATATATATATATTTGAAAATTTTTGTCGTGCATTTTTCAAAAAAATGTTCCGTGTCTGTGTCCGGACTTCTCAAACTATAACTGAAAGTTAGATTGAGCTTGGACTCATTTGGACTATTATTCAGAGGGAGGGAAGTGCAGATGCTTGGGCTCCTGGTTGCTTGTAAACTATAGATAAAGTTACATTGATCTTTGGATTCTTACTTGCATATATTTTTGGCAACACTATGAGAAGTTGGTTAAAAGTTAATTTTTTTATTTTTTTTAAAAAATATGTAACAAAATATGAGAGATGATGTGATTTAAAATAGGTTAAAAGTTGATTTTTAATTATATTTCCAAAATAGACATATTGAAGCTAATCCTGAATGCACTTTGAAATAGTGATGATGTATATATAATATATGGAAAACTCTCTGGTGTGCATCCCTTTTGGGGTGCATACCGTATGCATCTTACGACAAATTTTATGACATTAATTACAAAATATGTAACGTCATAACATCATTACAAATTGACATAATAAAAATGTTGTAATCAAATCACAAATTTTTGTTATATGAATTGTAAAATTTTAGAAATTGTTACGTTAATTTGTGGTGAGATTATGCATTTGTAATTTATGTTATGAAATTTTATAATAAAATTATACTAATTTGTGATAGGGTGTATATGGTATAGGCTTTCCTATAAAATATACTAGCGACCGAGGCATACGCGATGCGTGTGCAAATTTACAAAAATAAATAAATTATATTGTGTAATTTATATTTTTTTATAATAATATACATATGTATTATGAGGGTAATGTAATGCAAGTCAAATATTTCTAATTATGTGCAATATAATATTTACTTATAATATGTTATAATAATATACATAGGTATTATGAGTGTAATGTAATGCAAGTTAAATATTTCTAACTATGTGCAATATAAAATTTACTTTTAATATTTTTATAATAATATACATATGTATTATGAGTGTAATATAATGCAAGTTAAATATTTCTAACCATGTGTAATATAACATTTACTTATAATATATTTGATAAATAAAATATGTACAACATAATATATACAAAAATTTTTTTAAAAAATACAATATTTCCTAATTTTCACCCAATATATATATATATATATATATACACACATTATGAATTCACAAAACATCTCAATTTGGAGATGACATGAGACTGAAAATTACAAATCCTGTAAACAATATATAAGATACATTAAAAAAAATTAGTATTGTTTTCGTTTGTTATATAAAGATTAAAATAAAATTTCACGTTAAATTCAAAAATAAATGTACTTTAATTAATAGATTGCAAGCATAACTTCTTTTTTTAATTTTTTTTTTTTTTTTTGTAATTGGCTAATTGCGTTATGTATGAAGATACAAAGTGTAAATATTTTTGAAGTTTTTATAAACGAAACTAAAAAGTTATAAACTTACATTTGGACATGGATTGACATAATCCCAATCAAATGTCCTTCCAACAATCCATTCAAATTGTTTTCACAATAACAAAATTTTGGTTTGGCTTGATTTGGTAAGGTTAAATTTCTCTGTGATATGTTCAGGGATCTTAGACATCAAAAAATAATTTTGTGGATCTCTTCCATTATGAAAAGTGGAAGAGGGACCCTTCACTAATTTTCCCTAAATATATTTGCATGAGTTTCTCATGCGTCATGTCTTTTATATATATATATATATATATATATTTGAAAATTTTTGTCGTGCATTTTTCAAAAAAATGTTCCGTGTCTGTGTCCGGACTTCTCAAACTATAACTATTCATTTGGAATATTATTCAGAGGGAGGGAAGTGCAGATGCTTGGGCTCCTGGTTGCTTGTAAACTATAGATAAAGTTAGATTGATCTTTGGATTCTTACTTGCATATATTTTTGGCAACACTATGAGAAGTTGGTTAAAAGTTAGTTTTTTTATTTTTTCTAAAAACCTATAAAAAAATATGAGAGATGATGTGATTTAAAATAGGTTAAAAGTTGATTTTTAATCATATTCCCAAAAATAGACATATTGAAGCTAATCCTGAAAGCACTTTGAAATAGTGATGATGTATATATAATACATGGTGTGCATCCCTTTTGGGGTGCATACCGTATGCATCTTATGACAAATTTTATGACATTAATTACAAAATGTGTAACGTCATAACATCATTACAAATTGACATAATAAAAAAATGTTATCAAATCACAAATTTTTGTTACATGAATTGTAAAATTTTAGAAATTGTTACGTTAATTTGTGGTGAGATTATGCATTTTGTAATTTATGTTATGAAATTTTATAATAAAATTATATCAATTTGTGATAGGGTGTATATGGTATAGGCTTTCCCATAAAATATACTAGTGACCGAGGCACACGCGATGCGTGTGCAAATTTTAAAAAATAAATAAATTATATTGTGTAATTTATATTTTTTTATAATAATATACGTATGTATTATGAGGGTAATGTAATGCAAGTCAAATATTTCTAATTATGTGCAATATAATATTTACTTATAATATGTTATAATAATATACATAGGTATTATGAGTGTAATGTAATGCAAGTTAAATATTTCTAACTATGTGCAATATAAAATTTACTTTTAATATTTTTATAATAATATGCATATGTATTATGAGTGTAATATAATGCAAGTTAAATATTTCTAACCATGTGTAATATAACATTTACTTTTAATATATTTGATAAATAAAATATGTACAACATAATATATACAAAAAAAGTTTTAAAAAATACAATATTTCCTAATTTTCACCCAATATATATATATACACATTATGAATTCACAAAACATCTCAATTTGGAGATGACATGAGACTGAAAATTACAAATCCTGTAAACAATATATAAGATACATTAAAAAAAATTAGTATTGTTTTCGTTTGTTATATAAAGATTAAAATAAAATTTCACGTTAAATTCAAAAATAAATGTACTTTAATTAATAGATTGCAAGCATAACTTCTTTTTTTTTTTTTGTAATTGGCTAAGTGCATTATGTATGAAGATACAAAGTGTAAATATTTTTGAAGTTTTTATAAACGAAACTAAAAAATTATAAACTTACATTTGGACATGGATTGACATAATCCCAATCAAATGTCCTTCCAACAATCCATTCAAATTGTTTTCACAATAAGATTGAGTTGATAAAAATTGAAGTAACAAAATTTTGGTTTGGATACAAATATGTAAGTTGATTATCTTGTATCAGTGTTGCACATGTCATTGTAAGTTTTCAATTTTTGTATCAATCGTTGCCTATAAAACTGAAATAAAACATTTCACTTAAGTCGATTATTTGACATAATAATTGATAAATTTGCATATATACACACTCATAGTAGTAAAGTTCATAAGAATTATCAATTTACCACATATATACCACATATATGTCCATATTATCTCTACTTTCTATGCTTGCATTTTCAATTATGACAGGACTTCTGTTAAAAAAATTAAATTAACTACTAGCATATAAACATGTTAAAGTTGTACTTATAATGTGTTGTAAATATGTTACCATACTAGCGCTAAAAGCTCTTGCACAATTAACTTTCTTAATTGTGTTTTGTCAACTTTAATAGAGATCTTCCATCAAATACTGTATACGGAGAACTGTTTAACCTACATTATGATATTCAAAGATATAATCAACCCAAAATGTATGTAAATATTGTTAGGTTAAATGTAAATATACATGGACAAATATCAACAAAATATATTATAGTAATTATTCGAATAAGATGAAAAAATACCTTGTTTTTAAGTTTCTTATTCGCAACCATATCTGTCTCCTTTTGAAAACTCTCCCAAAGCTGAAATAGTTTTATTTTTTCAAGTATTCCTATAATCAACAATTACATATAAAGATGCAATATAAATAAAAAAATGACTATCAAATTAATTGAAATAAAAGCATGTTTGGTACGTACCCCATGTATCAATTATTTGGTAATAAAACATCTTTGTACACTACATTGCAAGTATACACTTCTTCATTATTAATTGAACCTTTTTTAACCAAGACTTTTGTTGTTTGATTTGACACCCTCTAAATAAAGCAACATATAACCGTCCATGGTTGAATACATGATCCAAAAGGTAAATGCCCACAAGTGGAATTGTCGGGCCTTGTAATTTGTTTGTTGTTAAAGCAAAACTAAGGCGAATTGGAAATTGCGTGTAAGTCATTTCAAATGGAAGTTTGATGTTTTCCAGAGTCTTTAATAGAATGCGATGCAGAAAAACTCTTGTGCTTTTGAAATGTCCTGTTAAAATCTCTTAATCAATGAAATTATCATTCAAACCTCAATACAGTAACCTTGGGCCATTGCACAAAATAGCAGAAAGGGTTAAGATTCCTCAAAAACATAATTGGGACATTAACTTTCAAATGCAATACATGTGGGGGCATTCCTCTTGGTGTAATAAAATTTAAAAACTCTTGTTGATACAAATTATTTGTATCATTTTTAATTTTATCAAATGAGTGGTAGACTCTTGATGATTTTTTATATTTTTTGAGGAATGTATACCTTGATGATGATGATTATTATGAAATCCACATCCAATTCCATATTTCTTTTTTAGATAAATTACAAACACACCTCTTGAGGTTTACTTCAATTACAAATTACCCTCTGTGGTTCTAGAAATTACATTATGCCCCCCTAAGGTTTCTAATTTCATAACAAATAGGTCATTTTATTAATAAATTATCGAGTTAATTAACATTTTTTAATAATGTTAAATTTTTATTTCAATTAATAATTCAGAAAATTTTATTATTGTTTAGGTGAACAGTTAGAAATTTTACTTTTTCAATTAATTTTGTTAAATAAAAATTTTTGACAGGGAGGTATTTGTAATTTTTCAAATCACAGAAGGCAATTCGTATTTTAAGCAAACCTTAGGAGGTGTATTTATAATTTACCCTTCTTTTTTTTAATAGAAAAATGGAGTTGTTTGAAAAAAAATAAAAAAATAATCTTGCTAGTGAAAAAGCCGGGTGAGAAAGTCATTTGGTTTTTGACTTGTTTTATGAGTAGGTTAAAAAAATTAGGGTTGGGTTTTCCTTTCATCTCAATCTAAATTGGAAGGTGTTATTTAGGCTCGTAGAGTGCATCATTTGTTGGTTTCAATGATATAAATTGTTTATTTTATCAGGCTTTACGTGTATATCATCTATTAAAAAAAATTAGTTCGATCCAATATTCATAACTCTTTCATTTTATCGAGTTTATCTTCAAAAAAATTAATGGTCAATAAGTTTTTAAAAATAGAGTATTCATTTTTTTTTTATACAAATGCAATAAAATGAGTAAATTACAAAAATCAAATCAATTTAATTGTTTTATAAATGATATATTCACAAGACCCAACAAAATGAACATTTTAAATAATCGAAACGATATCCAAAGTGGGCTTCACAGCCCAGGCCCAGACAGCATCCTGGAAAGAAGGCCAGCCCCAAAAATTAATACGTTGGCAAATGCTAACACAGTTTATATATTTAGGCCTTGTTTTTCTAGGATTACTTTTGAAACATGTTTGCAAAAAAGGCAAATTAAACAAGTGTTTGTACTTTTTTTTATCTAAAAAATTACTCTACAAACACAAACCAAACACAATTTTTTTTAATGGAAAAGTTAAGTGCTTTTTTCAGCTAAACAAGCAAATATTGCCTAACGGACAGAATTGGATTCCAAAAAAAAAAATATATTTTTTAAAATATTCAAAAAGAGTGACTTGCAACCTAAACCAAGCAGCAGTGAATTTGAATTGGATAATTTAATTAGTTAAAATAAATTGGATAAAGTAATTAATTATACAATGATTATTTTGTTTTATTTGGGACTATGTTAGTGATGTAATTTATTTATTAATAATATTATTTTGTTTTATTTGGGACTATGTTAGTGATGTAATTTATTTATTAATAATATTTGGTTAAATAACATCAGAAGGAGATGTCTCTGTGAATACTTATTATTCAGGTGCAAACAAAATTAAAGAGGATTAAAGAATTGTTTTTTTTTTTAATTAATTAAAGAATTGGGTTGGTGACCAAGAATTGGATTCCAAAAAAAAATATATATTTTTAAAATATTCAAAAAGAGTGACTTCCAACCTAAACCAAGCAGCAGTGAATTTGAATTGGATAAATTAATTAGTTAAAATAAATTGGATAAAGTAATTAATTATACAATGATTATTTTGTTTTATTTGGGACTATGTTAGTGATGTAATTTATTTATTAATAATATTTAGTTAAGAGTAATGCTAGAGACTCCAAAAATTCTACCAAAAGTTTTACCAAATGTTTCACATGGGTGTGGGACCCACATGGGACCCACATTGTGTGGGTCCCACACCCATGTGAGACATTTGGTAAAATTTTTGGTAGAATATTTGGGATCTCTAGCATTTTTGTTTAGTTAAATAACATCAGAAGGAGATGTCTCTGTGAATACTTACTATTTAGGTGCAAACAAAATTAAGGAGGATTAAAGAATTGTTTTTTTTTTTTAATTAATTAAAGAATTGGGTTGGTGACCAATTGACAATCAAAAGATCATAGAGTGACAAAAAATCTTTATTCACTAATTTAGAATTATATTCAACTAACGACTCCCCTCTCATTGTTAGCTTATAAAATTTTGAAAAACACATTTACCATTTTGCCCAAGTTGAATTTGGGATAGCGAAGTTTCAAAATAGGATTATACACGAGCTGAATTTAAATTTGACTTAAAAATCTAATAAAAAAATGTGTTCAAATAAAATTAAAGAGGATTAAAGTATTGGGTTGGTAAATATTTGATAGATTACTTCAAACGATTTTATGGAGTGTGACAAACATTCTAACATCCTTTATTTAGTAATTTAGAATTGTAGCAACTCTCCTTCCATTATTAGCTTATTAAATTTTGAAAAACACATTTACCATTTTGCCTGAGTTGATTTTGGGATTGCGAAGTTTCCAGACTGACTCTAAATGAAAATAATTGAGCGTAGTAAATTGTTTAAAATTGATTTGAAGATTTAATGAACTTTAAAATGTGTTTAAATTTAATCTGTTTAATTTTGAATCAATCTCAAACGAGTTTTAATCAAATTGATAGCAAGTTGGGCTCAAATAAAATTAATTTTTTTAATAATGCATATAACCTAGTCATGCCAAATAGTAGATTATTTAAACTTGACTTAAGAATTTAATAAATTTTACAATGTTTTCAAATTTGACTTGTTTATATAACAAGTCAATCTCAAATCAATTTTTAATAAGCTGAATATAAGTTGAATTAGTTCATTTTATAGCACTAATTTCAAGTTGCAAAGAAATATTTAAAATTAGCCATAAACTACAAAAGTAAATTTTTTTTTTATAGAAAGTACTCAATCAAGAATTGGAAACGAATTCTACGATGGAAGTGATTTTGCCAATGCCATTTTTCTTATATATGCTAGTAGTTGGGCATGTGCGTTCCATGTGATACATGATTTTTCATGTTTGAATTTATAATAACAAAAAAATATATAATAAAAAATTTAGTACACACTACAATGTTTTCTTAATTCAGTGACACCACTGCTTATATTTAGTGGCATTCCTTTAAAATATAACATTAAAGAATTTTGGTTTACTTGGTTGAGTGACATTTTTTTTATGAAATGTCATTAGATTGAATTTTTGTGTCATTTTTATAAAAAATGACACTAACATTGTGCCACTAAATGCAGTTTTTGTTGTAGTGACATGTTTGAATTTATAAACTTTTTTATCAATATTTTACTTTTAAATTCTATTTAGATTATTAGATTTTAAATTTTCATGTAAAAGTATAATTTAAATATAAAATATGAAGAAATTCTAGTATCTTTAATTATCAAAATTGAGAAAATATGAAAAATAAAAAAATTTAAAAATAAAACTAGCGAAAGTGGTTCTTATTTAGAATTTTGACATTATACCTTAATTATTAAAGTACTATATAAAATATTACAATTCATAGAATATAATTTAAACAAAAATAAAGTGTGAAGATAACGCATGCGCTTTCCTCTGTCTAAATTTGAACGAATGTATACAATTTTAAGATTCAACCAAAATTATTCATAGTGATTTGATCCATGGTAGACAATTGTAAATATTATATATATCAGTAAAGAAGTAGACACAACAAATGAGAAATAGTAATTATTTTTTGTTCTTCAATTATCATCAATGTAATTTTTATTTTGTATTTTTGATAATAAAAGAGAAGGTTTGTTTATATTTATATAGGACTCTCGGGGGAAAAAGAAAAGAAAAGAAGTAATAGCTAGCTTATATAGGACTATTCATGACTTTTAAAAAATATAATAGAATTGAAAGGGTAAAATTGAAATTTAAAAAAAAGTAAAAAAACATGCAAGCTCTTCACACTTTTATAATTGTAGTAGATTATATTACAATGTAGTTTAATGAATTACAATCTAACACATAATTAATATAAACAAATTCTTAGAGAAAGCCCAACAAATATTCGGCGAATAAGACTCACATGCAAGTGAAAATATTTGAACCACTAAGTTCTTAGAGAAGTCCAAAATTTTTAGCCAAACTATCATCTACTTTAGACTGTGTTTGAATCATGCATTTAAGTAGAAATTTGAAAAGGAAAAGAAAAAGAGAGAAAAATAAAAATAAAAATGAAATTTAATTTATATTTCATTCATATTTTTTTCGCTTACATGATGCAAATATAGCTTAAGATTATTTGAGAGAGAAATGACCATCTATGGTTTTGTTCATTGAATTGTATGAACTAAGAGGGAAACAAGACAAAGGCAAAGAGTAGCAGTGACAATGGTGAGGCCAAAATTCACAGTGAACAAGCCAAAAAGTTCAAAAAAATGAGATGACTCTGAGGAACTTTTGGTCTTGGACTCATAGCAAGGTGCATAATTCCATCCATTTTCACTTGTGCAACACCTTTCCAATCTCTCTTTCATCCTCACCTCCTCTATCCTTTCCTTTAGAACTCTCAAATTTGCATCAACAATATTACTTGATCTCCCTGCCAAACCAAACAAACAAAAATGAACTAAAATAGAAGCAAACTATTATATATATATATAGCATGGTCACTAGTTCAATGGTTAAAACTTTACTTGTTAATTTTGAAGTTGTAAATTCAAACATAGCAATCATTTTGTGTAAATAATGCTAAATGTTAAGACAATATCCCAATCTACCATTTCTTAGACTTAAAAGGTGATAAACGTATCGAATAGTTTGAGTTTTACTCGTATTCACCTCGTTAAAAGTTTATTCGAGCTTAGTTTGTTAAGTAAACAAGTTAACATTGAATATATTTTTGAACTCGTTCGGTTAAGTTCAAAAATCTTAAAACTATATAAAAATACTAAATTACCAAATTCAGTTTGACAAAAACTCATTTAAGATCTGTTTGAAAGTTCAACAAACTAAACTTCAACAAATTTTGAAACTCATTAAAATTTTCAAATCTTACTTGAACAATATTAACAATTCGCCTTATTTATCACCCATCTAATAGGAACTAAACTAGGTGTACTTTACTTAATATAGAACTTAATTCTTTCTAATAATTTCCCATGGCTTTGGTTATTATTTTGTATCACTGAGGAAGGAAATGGTGAAGGTGGTGCTGGTTGAAATTAAACCACTTTCTTCTTGATAAACAGAACAGGCAGAGTGGCTCTCAACCTCATAAAATCTCAAATTACAAAATAATCCAATGTATACAACAATTCGAATAAATAACAACTCGGGTCAAAATAAACCCAAATATAAATATCGGGTTACAGGTTGCCAACTTGTAACAAGCATAATTCAGATTAAATTGGAGACACAGTCGCAGTAGTTTTTACCTTCATCTCTACAGCTCTGAGCTCTGAATTCCAGGGATGGCCGAGCACGCGTCAGAGATGTCGGCTTAATTACACAACAGAAAGAAGTTTGCAGAGAAGCCATATATTGCACTAATTTATAATCAAAATCTTACTAACACAAATCAAACTGCCAAGGAAGATCAAGGTTACTTACCCAAAAAAAAGGATCAAGGTGAAAGAAAACAACACAAAACAAAACAAAACAAAAATAGAAAACAAAATTTTTGGAACTCGATAGGTAAGAATCTCGAGATAAAGGAATGTCAAAAGGACAGAGAATTTGGAGAAAGAGTATATCCTTTGAGCCTTTGTTGGGACTGTACTGCATTACCATTGTTTCTTGGTTCTCTTTATATAGTGACAAAACATGTGCTTTATTCAGGTGTCAACAATTGTTGTATATTAGGTAAATTATAGCAATAGTTTTTATAGTTTGTTTCTTATATTAATTTTAGCAGAAATTGCCACAAAAAAAAAAAAAATTAAAATTTGACCATTATAATAAAGAATAATGATTTGTCCCCCTAATTTCCTCCCCCGAATCCGCCTAATTTCAGAAGAGAGAGAGAGAGAGAGAGAGAGAGAAGAGAAGAGAAGAGAAGAGAGGGAAGAGGAGGAGTTCAGAAGAGAGGGAAGAGAGGGAAGAGGAGGAGCTCGATCGTCGTCCTCTGCCCGATCGTCGTGTCCGGTAGCCCCCGCCTCTGCCCGATTGTCATCTCCGGCAGCCCCCGCCTTTGCCTCGCCTCCGCCTCCTCCTCCCCGTGGTTATGGCCCCCTCTAGTCCTCCTCCTTCCTCTTCCTCCTCATCTTTCCTTCTCTTCTCTTCTCTTCTCCTTCTTCCTTCTTCCTTCTTCTTCTCCCTCGTTTCTGATTGAACCAGGAAAAAAAAAAAAAAAAAAAAATTTGCAAAAACGAAGTCGTTTCTGGGATTAGGGGGATTCGGGGGGACTTTTTTCGAGCGACGTAGCATTACCGTATAATAAAATAATTTTTTAATTTTTAATTTTATCGATTTAAACTCTAATTCAATTTAACCCATTTGCATACTTTTGTTATGTAAAGCGATTGGAAAAAATAATTTAAATCATTAAACTAAATGAAAAGGGATATTTTGAACATTTTATGTACACCTACATTAAATTTAATGACTAAAATATGATTTTTTTCGTCGGTTTTACCTAACGGAAATAAGCTATTGGTTTATATTGAAAACATATAAAAAAAATTAGAATTTAAATTGATAAAATTAAAAATTCAGGATTTGTTTTGTTACAAGAGTCAAACTCTAACTTTTTTTTTTTTTGAAAATTTTCTCTTAATTTTATTGTATTTCTAATTATATTAATTTACCTTTATTTTTTTTTCATATTCTGTTAAATTTGAGAGAACTTGACGGGTAGTTGGCCCATCACGAGTCTTGTTTTAATGACCTGAAGTGTTCATTTTGTAAATTCCTTCATGTATATCACCCATTAAAAAAAGGAACGTTTACACACAAATCCTAATTAATGAACTTATACTCCATTAAGTCATAACTAATATTTTTTGGACCTTCAAGTCTCATTAAATTTTTAATAGTCAGAATTGCCCTTCAAACAATGATTGTTCATCATTTATGATTATCTATAAAGGAACATGATAATTTGACATTTATTTTGATTTTCAAAACTTTAAAATATCAACTTTTTGAAAAAAGTTGAATTTTTTTTGTGCAAAATTGAATTTTTTTTGTCTATAAAGGAGCATGGTGTAGAACATTGATGCGCAAAATTGAAAAAAAAAAAAAAACTTTAAGAATGAAAAAAAATGATAATATTCTCGATTTTATTAGATTGTTAAATCAAACTAATAAGTAGAAGGGTAAAAATATTTAATCTCATGTTCTGTTTTTTTAATCCGTTAGTGAAATAATTATCTGGAACACTACTATACAAAATTGATAATATTCTTAGTTTTAAAAATTGATAATATTTTCAGTTTTACTAAATATGATTTATTGGTTTAAAAAATCTTAGATATGACCTGAATTATCATAACATTTGTAAATAGGACTTTTAGGTAGTTAACTCAAAAAAAAAAAAATCCGATAATTATAATTTTTTCATTTTATTGAGTCTAAAAAAAATAGATAGTATATTTAAAAAAAAAATATTTGTCCCGATAAAATAAAAAAGTTAAAATTATTGGATTGACATAATTTTTTTTATATAATATATACACTAAAGATTTTATAAAATGACCGTTTAGATCATTGAAATAGGACCTATATGACCCTACCGCCTGTCAAGTTCCTTCAAGTTCAAAAGCCCAACCTGGTGGGAATTTAGCTCAATTGTTAATGTCCTTATAAAAATTAGATAGATTTCAACTAGTGAAATAGTTTATTTACTATTCTCAATAATAAAGGGTTGACGTCCAATCCGAACGATTTATTAATTTTTAAATGAATTATTTTATTTTTAATTTTACAGAAATTAAATTAACACAAAAAAATAAATTACAAGAGTAGTTTACCCTCCATTAAGACAAAATAGGCGTCCTCCATTAAGGGTCCGTTTGGGAAGGGCTTTTCCGGGCTTTTTTGGCTATTTTAGCCACAAAAAACAAAACATCACATCCAACCCATAATCATTACACTCTTCTCTCACAAAAAAAGTCAAAAAACCCAAAAAGCCAAAAAATTCTTCCCAAACCAAGCTTTTTAGCCCAGGCTAAAATAGCAAAAAAAGTCAAAAAGCTAAAAAACCAACCCACTTCCCAAACGGAGGCTAAACAAATGGTGATTTGATATTCAAAGGCATAGACAAAAATCAAACAAGTAGTCCTACATATGGATATGACAAAGATCGACCATCTTTTTTTTTTTTAAGGTTCACAACAAAAGTTAAATATACCTTCAATCTTTTTTCTTTCTTTTTTAATATATTTAATGTTAATAATTTTTTTTTTTTTTTTTTTTTTAAGATTCACAACCAAAGCTATACATTCAATCTTATTTTATTTTATTTGGCTCAACAATAAAATCAAATACACATTAATTAACATTGTCACATTATTCTTGTCAAATTTTATGCATATCTAGAATTTTTTAAATTTATTTTAAAAAAATTAAGGACATTGTCTAGTGTAGGTTTCGGTTTGCTTTTCTATGTTATTTTATTTTGTTGTGTATTGTAATTTTCAGAATGGTTTGCTTGTTCTGAAATTTCAATTAACGAGTATGAATCTATTTGTTTTATGTTATCACACAATTTATACAACATATATATATATATATATATATATGTATGTATTTGAAAATAAGGAAATTGTAGAGAATCAAAACAAGCATGAGTTGTGATTGGTTAGAAATGATGGGTACATAGATTTATTTGCTAGAAAAACAAAAAGGGGATACAAAGTCTTACTAAATAATTTTTTTTTAAATTAAAAGAATTTTTCTTAGTTATGAACAGATTTAACTAAAATCAGCTTGTTTCCTAATGTTATGCTTCATTTATTTAGATAGAAAATATTTTTTATAAAAAAAATTCAAAATATATTTTTTTATATTTGGTGGTGGTGGTGATGGAACGAAGGTGAAAGTAGAAATTGTTACATAGTGGTGGGGTGATGGCGGCAGTGATGATGGTAGTGGCTATGGTGATGGTAGTGTGACAGTGAAAGTGAGAATAGTGGTGATGGTGTTGTGAAATTAGTAAAAATTTAATTGAAAAAATATTTTTTGTTTTTTAAAAGTAACAAACAACAAAATTCGTGGGGGACTAAAGGAAGAAGATGGAGGATGGATTGGGTGTGGTAGTGCATAGATATCTTAAAATGAGTGGTTCAGATTTATTAAAGGTATATTTAGATTTTGGATAAATTAAAATGAATGGTTCAAATTTGCTAAGATATCTCAAAATTATATATTTGATTATTATAAAACAAACTTTTTAATTAATTAATTAATGTGTATTTGATTTTGTTGTTGAACCAAATAAAATAAAATAAGATTGAATGTATATTTAGCTTTTGTTGTGAACCTTAAAAAAAATAAAAAATAAATAAATAAGTTGTTAACATTAAATATATTCAAAAAGAAAAAAAAAGATTGAAGGTATATTTAGTTAAAACCTTTATAAAATAAAAAATAAAAAAAAGAGAAGGTTGTTAACATTAAATATATTTAAAAAGAAATAAAAAAGATTGAAATTATATTTAACTTTTGTTGTGAACCTTAAAAAAAAAAAAAATTGTTAACATTAAATATATTAAAAAAGAAAGAAAAAAGATTGAAGGTGTATATTTTTTTTTTTTTTTGGAACTTAAAAAAAAAAAAAAAAAAAAAAAAAAAAAAAAAAATGGTTGTTAACATTAAATATAAAAAATAAAAATGGGGGTTAAAGCGGGTGGGGGAAAATCCATACCCATTAAAAAATGAGGAGGGTGGTACCCATGGGGAATGTAGAATGGGGAAAATTTATTATAAGGGAATGGGGATGGGGAATTAATATTCACCCCATTGCCCCCCCATTTGCCATCCCTAGTTTTATTCAGGTGTCAACAATTGTTGTATATTAGGTAAATTATAGCAATAGTTCCTATAGTTTGTTTCTTATATTAATTTTAGGAGAAATTGCCACCAAAAAAAAAAATAATTAAAATTTGACCATTATAATAAAATAATTTTTTAATTTTTAATTTTATCAATTTAAACTCCAATTCAATTTAACCCATTTGCATACTTTTGTTATGTAAAGCGATTGAAAAAAATAATTTAAATCATTAAACTAAACGAAAAGGGATATTTTGAACATTTTATGTACACCTACATTAAATTTAATGACTAAAATATGATTTTTTTCGTCGGTTTTACCAAACGGAAATAAGCTATTGGCTTATATTGAAAACATATAAAAAAAATTAGAATTTAAATTGATAAAATTAAAAATTCAGGATTTGTTTTGTTACAAGAGTCAAACTCTTTTTTTTTTTAAATTTTCTCTTAATTTTATTGTATTTCTAATTATATTAATTTACCTTTATTTTTTTTTTCATATTCTGTTAAATTTGAGAGAACTTGACGGGTAGTTGGCCCATCACGAGTCTTGTTTTAATGACCTGAAGTGTTCATTTTGTAAATTCCTTTATGTATGTCACCCATTAAAAAAAGGAACGTTTACACACAAATCCTAATTAATGAACTTATATTCCATTAAGTAATAACTAATATTTTTTAGACCTTCAAATCCCATTAAATTTTTAATAGTCGGAATTGCCCTACAAACAATGATTGTTCATCATTTATGATTATCTATAAAGGAACATGATAATTTGACATTTA